CAGTGCGATATAAAAATTAAAATTATAAATAATTGGATACGAATACAATAGTATTTATATTCAATCAATTAAAATAGTCTGTTGGTTAATTTGCAAGCATTTGTTTTTTTTAAATTAAACACCAAAAAAAATCAACTGTAGAAAAAAACCTTACTCACTGAAAAAACCTCGTGGCTCGACCAGTAGTCTGTATTTCAACAAACCCTGTCTTTACTTATTTATGTAAATATTTACATATTTATAAAACTGGACAAAGGTTTTTTTGTTGCTTTCCCCCTTTCAGAGTTTCAGGCACATCTTTATTAATTATACTATTTATTTAGATATTTTACCTACATATAAATACTGTGCCCTTTTGTTTAATCGTGCTGTCATCAGCAACCCAGTGAATAAATGGCAAAGCCCAAAACCGAATTTTAGGGCCAAGGACAATTTTCCGATAACAAGCTTATTGGTCATACAATTTTCATTTATATATTTGTGTAAACTTTCCACTGCTTCAATTCAGGGGACCAAAGCTCGCAGGCTCGCAGACTCGCAGTGCCTTCCGCCCTAAAACATTTTCTTCACCCATTGAACTTTTAGAAAAAACGAAGATTAGTGCAGTAGTACACGCAGTTATATTACATACATATGAGCGGAAAGAGAGTGTTGTTTAGATAAATAACGCTGAGGTACAACGTGACTCTGTCGCTATAGCCCCTTTATACGTTAAGTACCGGTAAGATACATCGCCCATCGTTTCGGACTAGTCATCTCTCGGTCGTCTTTCTATCGCGGACAATTCTACTCTGTGACGACGACTTGAAGTATACGTTCTTTAACAACCCGCCAGTAAAGTTCACTTATTAGGTACATTGGTTCGCTCTTGTTATTTCTCTCTTGCTGCAGCAGTCTTGTCTTGAACTATTTCGCCGTGTATAATTATTAGAGCACTCAAGACTCTAGTCCTTTGTTTCAGAGTACGACAGGCCCATGTACTACGCACTTACACTCTTCTGCGAGGTGGTAGTTGATTCACGTACGCTGAGGCAAACGAACGTACACGCTAACACATAACATAGTATTTTTATTGCAAATAAACACCTGCTGCACCAAGTGCTCTGGTCCATGTTTTTTATGTTCTATGTTGGTTCGTTCAGCAAAGTGGATGGAAGCATGTGACTTTGTACAAAGTCTCTGGCTCGCTGCTTATCACTGTGTATGCGAAAGGGGCGAGGTTGTTTCAGCGTCAACTATGTAGGGAGACTAGGAGGGCCCGACACAAACAAACTGACAGTCGCTGAGGACTTTAGCGTCGATCACAGTCTTCCGAACTCTTACTTTGATTCCATGTCTCGTGCCTCTGACTGTGCGTGCCTTGCAGAAGCAAATAACATCAGAGATGAAAGGGGTGATAGCAATTATAAGAAGTGGGCTTATCTGAAGTCGAGTATTTGTGCTGTATCGGCTTCTGACTTGCTCGTATTATATCTCTGGTTCACAGTCTGAGTCTATTCAGACGATTCACTCGTTCTATTTATTTTGACCCCCTTTCCTCGTGGGATTCCATCTTATAGGCTACTCTAGAACAGGTCCGTGCAGTGTATTCGAGGCTCGCTCTCGCTTTGGTTTCTACCCACTACAAACACTCGAACAGTGAGTACGACTGGTATACGTCAAAAGGTCAATTCATCCGCAGAACGCCAGCATGTCTTCTGTGCACTACAAGTTCCAGTCGAGTAAGACCTACTCGACTGTGACGTTCGACGGCATGGCTATCTCACTGAAGGATCTAAAGCTGCAAATTAGCGAAGCGAAACGATTCGGCAAAACAACGGATATGGACTTGAAGATCACCAACGCCCAGACTGGATTTGGTATGTCAGAGCAGATAGATAGGGCTTAATTGTAAGGATTTGTATGCGAGCAGGTGGATATTATTACTATAACCATTACTTGTTTCTATTATAGATGATGCGAAAGCAGTGCGTACAAGTATGTGCTAGTGAGGAGTATACGTATACTAGTCACCGTTGCAATGTATGGTAATACAATTGATTATACAAATACACATAAAGCGCAGTGACCAATTTGTGGGTAGTTCTGTTGTGAAGGGTTAAAGAAATTGATAGTGTGTTTTAGTCGTTGTGATACTACTATTATCGTGTATATGGCGTGGCTTTGGCTGGACCGGTTTATAGCTTATACGGTCGTAGACTTGCACCGAAACTGCGTCGCGCTTAAGGCGTGGCCTCGTTAGCGGAGGGTATCCTATGCATTGGACAGGACTCTCCTAGTCATGATCATAGCTAGTATAATAGCAGTGTTCGTGCAATACGTACTTGTCGCCAATTGGAATAATGTCCTAGTCATGGTCATAGCTAGTATAATAGCAGTGTTCGTGCAATACGTACTTGTCGCCAATTGGAATAATGAGTGCGTTCTTCGATATGTAGGGTACTATACTCAACCGCAGTAGTCATCCCAACAAATCTAGGCAATTTTGTTAGTCGTTCCAGCCAGTCTATGCCGTCGTGCTTAATTATACCGTCTACGATGGATTGACTGTGGTATTGTAGCATTGCAATAGCAAGTCCTATTTGTTATGCATGCCTTCCGATCTGGTGTGCATCTACACACCCCTCGGCGCATTTACCCTGGGTTAGACCTGGCCATCCTTCCGCTTGGCTGGAAGCGAAAGTGCAAACCAGAAGTCTCCACCCACCTGCTTCGTGGTGCGGAACGCCTCCTATGTACTTCGCCCAGCACATGCGCTCGAGCAGTCAAAAGAGTGGTTCGGCTCTTCGACTCGTTCTGAGGTACCCTCGTTGTGCAGTGCGGTACGCTCGGCTGGAGATAGGTTGCGTTCCGAGAATGGAACCTCCTTAAAGCCCTGAAAGCACCTTTGTGTGTGAAAAAAAAGCTATGGTCGTAGCTGTGTGTGGTTGAAGGTGCAGATTCGGTACCGATGCTGCGTGTCTCCAAGCTAAGCCTGCCAAGCAGAGAAGCGTGTGGCATACGTTAGGGCCCGAACCGTCCGTCAGTGGGCACATTGCGGTTGTTGCCTTACTGCTAAGGCACGCTGGTGGTGGCCAATCAGAGAACGAAAGGAGCTGTTGTGCAAGCGTGGCATGTGACGGCTGCAGGTTGAGCTTGTACAAGCCGAACCGATCCGGCACGGTCATGTAGTACTTTCGGATTCGATGCACAACGGAGAGTCTTAGGATTGCGCACCAGCACCCTCACCAGCAACGTCACTAGCTACCAGCGCATGGGGACAGAGCTCCTGTTTCACCCAAGTATACTGGAGGCCACATTGCGTAGTGTAGCGCCCGCACAAGTAGACTCAGGTTGTAAGCGACGTATTGTATTGTCGTACCATGCCGAAACGCCAGTCAGCCCAGAGAAGGGGATATCTGAACGCTGTCCGAAGCGCGCAGTCGAACGTCTCGGTCTAGTTGCAACATGTACAGTGGAGAGGCGGCAGTCTGCGAATGCACACTGGAGAGAAGGCATTATAAACCTGAGTTCAATAGGCTGATCCTGTAAAGGACCGAAGGTGTCTCGTTTCCTGCAGCCAGGGCTTAACCACTGAGTGTGTTTGGAAAGGGCGTCGCCTGTGATTCCTCGGAATGCCTGGGGATGGGGATGCAACCACAGATGCGGGTGGCTTCAGCGCAGGGATTGCAAGTCCGAAGTTCGGATAGACTGGGCAGGGGTAATCCTGATACAATGATCCCTGCGGCTACGGAGAGCACAATATGTAACTGTGGTAGTGTTTGTTGAAGGCGTGGGATGTGTTGATGCTTTAGGCCACCGGAGAAGGCAGTTGTCACTTCTCTAGTGGTTGTTGCAGGAGGCTGTGTGGGTTATACCTTACACGGGCGGGTGATCGGAGCACTAGTTGGAATCAGTGATATCAGGGTGCTTGTCAAAGTCAAGGCGAAACCACCACCCTCGCACTACCGCAGTCATCCCGGATATCTAATTCGAGCGGGTTGCTAAAGTAAGCTTGTGGGTACATCCGGAGGGACAGGACGGCATATCGCAAGTATCGCTACTGAGCTGGAAAGCTTCATGTAGGTGGACTTGCATTATTTGGCGATCTTACTCTCCGACTTCTGGGGGATATCAGTTCACACCAGTACTACAAGAGGTGTCTAAGGTATCTACGCGATAGTCAATCCCATCGTCTTGAATGCTGTGCGTATGCGATGCCCACTCGCAGCAGTGCAATGTCTTTGGCTGGTGACACTTGGCTCCAATGCGACACTCTGCACAGCCCCACGGCTCAAAGCTGCTACTGCATTCTCATTCTTTGGCTTGGGCTTACGTTGATATCGTGTTGGACAGTAAACACCTGCTTTAGCGGACAATGACAGTAAAGACGGCAAAGGTAGTCGATCTTCATAGCCAAGGAGAGAACGGTTTATCTAGATAGCCAGGCGTGTATTCGATACACAAATCTCCACCAGGCGGCTACACTTTGCATTGGTTTGATGCGCCTCCTACAACAAGCGTCCAAACCCACGGAATGGAGACAATCTATAACGGGTACATTGGGTTGAGGTCCGGAAGTTGTTATTGCTCGGGCATGCTCGATGCTCAATACAAGCTGATATCCCCAGAGTCGGGGGGTGAGCGGGAAGGGGGGGGTGGTCGCCACTTACACTTAGTGAAGTAATCGGTGTTAGTCAGAGAGACCAGACCCACGCTACTACACTGTTATATAAGCCCGCAACCAGGCTTTAATATTGAACAAACCACATATAATGAAAAGTAAAAAAAGTGAAAAGTGAAAAAGGAATACTCGGGTCACTAAGTGCCTTGCACTTTCCTGTTTCATTGTGCTTCGTATAGGCGTGTTGTAGTTCTGCTGCCCTCTGTATGCTCGACATGTGTGTGTTCTCCTGTGAATGTGCAACTCTTAGTTAGCCAGAGAATCTGACGTGTGACGGCATGATTAGGATCACGATCACGTGACCCGCCAGACAACCCCGCACATAGACGTCTATGGAATGGCTGTGAGTTGTCTCTCGCTATACCACACTGCGCAATACAACAGTCAGTAGCGTATCCATGGTTACCCAAAACGCCATAAAACCCTGAAAACCCAAAACGTCATATTCACCTATACAATTCGCGCACGCACTTGCCCTCACCTACAGAGTACTCGAACAACAACGAACTGATTCCGAAGAACACCTCCGTGCTTGTAAAGCGAGCGCCAATCAACACCAACCGCAGGAAGTATGTAATGCAGACATGCGCATGGCGCCGTATTCTCGGTTCTTCCGGTTGGCTTGCCATATGTAGTTTCGCGGACTCCCAAGCGCTCTATACAATTGCTCAGCCTGTCTGATTAAATTGACACGCGATTTTTTGTCTTTATACCTGTATGTTAGAACTCAGTGCATTTAAATTACATCTACGCCTCGCTTGCTAATATGTCTGCATCCCACACGTTACACGTTTATTCAACCCAGCCATCAACCGCGCTCGGACACCCAATCCGATCCAACCGTGACCGGCATAGCCCTCCCTCCCACCACCAACACCAGTTCGTCTATGGCGCCTCGGCCCAATAAAGGGCCTATGACCGAGGAGGAGAGGCTTAAATCCGCCATGTCCAAGATGACTGAGGATGCGGGCGTGAACGAGTACATGAGCAAGCAGAATGGGCAACGAGGACCCCAGCAGCCGTACATGGACCGTAATACCAAGCCGGCACCTACGTATATCTGCTACCGGTGTGGCAAGCCCGGGCATTGGATCAAGTTTTGCCCCAACGACAAGGGAGAGCCATTGAATGTGAAGGTGTGTATGCGTGTAACCAGCGGGCCATTTTTAGCAAGGTTTGGGACTGCTTTTGTGGGCGTGGGCTCTGTATGGAGCACAGGAATTCCCCTATCCTGCTCTCCCTAGTACTTAGGCGTTTGAACGCGTTGCTGACTAAGATTACTATTCCATACACATATCCGGATTTTGCCGCACTTTCATTCCGCACATCTGTAACATGTCCTGTCGTTTCCCCTTTATCTTCGCCGCACGCGAACAGGTGATGAAACCCACCACTGGCATACCCAAGAGTTTTCTGCGGTACACCACCGACGGCGAGACCCCGGGTGCGTTGATGACCGAGGACGGGAAGTTTGCGGTGGTGCAACCCAATGAGCGAGAGTTCTCCAAGGCCATGAAACAGACCCATGGACAGGGCAAGAAGGCGGCCCCAGGCGCTCTACCTGAGGATCTGAAATGCCAGATGTGCCATCAGTGTCTGAAGGAGGCGGTGACTATACCGTGCTGCGGAGATAACTTCTGCGACGAGTGTATTAGAACGTGTTTGTTGGAGAGCAACTTCACCTGTCCTTCCTGTCATTCAGAGAGAGTCTCGCCAGATGCATTATCGGTATGTTATTCATGATATCTAGTTACTTTCCATGAATAGTCTGGTGTATTTGATGTATGTGTGCATCGTCCACAGCCATGCGTGCTTCAGAGAACTTTCAATACTTCAAGGCTTTTGCGTGTAAGGACATCGTAAAGACTACATAAACGCTTCGTACCAGAATCATTTTGGTATCTTAAACCGATACTTTTGAGGCTCTTTGATCGGAATGAAACCTCACAGCGCAACAAATCTCAATCGCTCCGATAGTTGCATGTATGGAGGGGTTTCAGATCACTTCTTTTTAGCATCTTTCTGCGCTAGGGATTGCGTGATTGTACCGATATACCTACTTGCTCGCCGTGTGTAGCCGAGTCCCGTACGCCCAGTTCTAAATTCTGTATTCCTTAATCTGCAGGCCAACTTATCCCTCCGCAACGAGGTGCTGGAGTGGAGAGCTTCCAAAGGAATCGTTGATAGTCCTGCACCCCAGGCAGACAAATCGCCAGCTGGCAAAGTAGAGTCTGACCCAGACAGCAAGATTAAGACAAGCGCCGACAAGTCCCCTGCTGGTGAGAAGTCCGATGTAGTTGCGAGTGATGGGGGAGCGGGACAAGCGCGGGTGTCCAATATCGCGGAAAAGGGACCTGAAAACACCCGAGAACAGGGAAATCACGAGCCCAGAGGGGATGCTCGTGATGGAAACGATATGCAACGAAGTGATAACTTCAGGCCGGATGACAACCGAGACCACCTCCAGGGACCTTCACGTGGGTACCGAGGTGACGTGAGACAACAACGCCAGAGAAATGACTATAGAGGTCCGCCCAGGAACGATAGACACCCCAACGGTGAGGGCAGAGGACGGCCTATGGGCTTCAACAATGACTTCGGTCCGGATCGCCGGGGTGGCCCGGAGACAAGAAACAGTGCACCTGCACCCGGACACCAAGGAGGCTTCGACCGGAATTTTGACGGTCGCACGGGTAGAGGTGGGCCTGGAGACCGAGGCAGAGGAAGGGACCAATTTAGACCACAAAATGGGAGAGGCCCGCCGCCTATGCATGACAGATACGACCAGCACCCAGCACGCAATGCGGGCCCTGGAGACAATTCACATGGACAACGGGGAGACGGTTTCCGAGACGGTTTCCATGGTAACGGGCCGACAGGAAGATACGACGAGAGGCGTGGTCAGAGAGGGCCCGCGGAGATGCACAAAGGTAGAGACAATCGAAGCTTACACCCAGCTGGGTTGGAGCGGGGTCGAGATGAACGCAACCGGGGTAATGGTCACGTAGACCCCGATAACCGAGATAAAAGCCCCCGTGATCGAGACAGAGACTTCGGCGATAGAGGGTATGCCGGGCGTGGTCGCGGGGGTGGCCAAGAATGGGACCGGAACGACCGAGGGCCCGGAAATGAGAGCGGGTACGACCGTGGGGGGCGAGCGAGGCACGCGTCACAGCGACGCAGTATGAGTAAGGAGGCATCACCACGTGCAAGTGGGGCGACAGACGCACATGCTCGTCGCAGTGGGGCGAGAGATGGGCGCGAGCGAGATGGGCCTGCACATGACTATGCGCCTAGAGAGGATGGGGTGAGGCGTAGTAGCAGGGACGATGCAGACACCGAGGGGGGCCGCCGCCGGAGTTCGGATAGAGGCGATGGGTATGGGTCAGACGGACGCCGAACGCAGCACTACTCGGGCAGGGATGCACGCAGTAGCGATAGGAGTCGAGGAGATAACAGAGACATGGGGCACAACGGAGGACACAGCCAAGACAGAGGCTACGAGCACACAGATAGTTTCGGCAACGACCGCGGACGGAGTCGCAGTCCGGTGCGTGTACCCGAGCACGAGGACGGTAGACGGCGAGGTAGTTATAAGGGGGGTAGCCGTAGTAGGGGAGATCGGGGGCAGGATAATGACGGGGATAGGTATGACGACCGGTATGATGCAGGGCAGGATGTCAGGCGAACCTCGGACCGAGATGCGAGGGTGACTACGAGCAGGTCCCGCGGAGATCGCAGGGAAGGCGCCGTACCCAGAGGCCATAGTAGGGACACAGAGGGCCGCGGCCATTTAGAGGTGCGAGGCGAGAGGAGGCTCAGTGTGAGTGAGCGTATTGGTAGTCGAGAGGGGGTGAACGACTACAAGTATCGAGAGTCGGAGGATGACCATGGAGATAGGTACTCCGATACCAACCAGGGAGCGAGTATGGTCGAAGACCTGGGCATGACCAGGAGACCGAGCTTGCGCGACAACAAAAGGATAGACCGCAAGCGTGGGTATGTTTATATGGGTAGCCTTATTTCGATGTTCGACTGTTGTAGCGTTATTTATACATATGTCTTGCATATATCGAGGCCATCGAATCAGAGCACTCTCGTCTTGAGTATATCGATGAATTGAAGAAAAAAATACTACAGTATACTGACGACTATATGTATGGGTTACGTAGCAGGAATACCAGGGACGAACCGGCATTCGATGAATTCTCTCAAGGGAACAATGACCACAAGCGCGTTCGTCATAATTCGGAGCGTAGTATGAATGGTGAGCCCCGTAGTCTCCAAGATAGGCTTGGCAACGGAAATACCAACAGACGCAACAAACGAACCAATAGTAACAACCTCGCCAGGAATAACTCGGAACTACACGTCCCCAAAGGCATAAGTGAGTCTCTGATTGCACGCCTGGCCCGGACCGACTCCGCCTTAAGCCTCGGCAGTGCTAATAAAAAGAAGCCGCGAAAGAGCAAGAAGAAAAATAACAGTATGTTGTGTGTGAACTAGTCTGTTGTGGTGTGTAGGATGTTCGGTCCTTAAGCTTGGGTCGGCACTATCTGCAAATGTAGATTTTCCGGTCAAAGAATTGATCGCCTCTACCCACGGCGTGGAGCAATGTGTATTCCATATGAGAGTTGATGCGGGGTTGACACGGTTGTTCAATTCACGTGTGCTGAATCTAACGTGACCATTCCTAACCGTTATATCATTGTAAGAGAGCGTTGTCGCAAAGCTGGTACTTCATCTTATCTACAATTGTCATCAACACACTCATATACGCCTATCAATTCTCATTAACATACACACTCACTCACACTCACACCTACAGATGACAATGTGAAGTTTGTCATGGCTGTGTCTGACGACATCATGCGTGACGGGGATGTTGACGATGGGCGCGGAGACTACTCGGATAATGAGAGCGGCGCAAGGCAGGACAGGAGAAGTAGGCCCGAGTTTTGGTAGATGTTGGGCTTTCTGTTTAGGACGTATCAATATCGGCACAACCTTTGGCTAACCACTGAACAGTGCCGCTGGCTGTGTGTGCATACGCAAGCTCTACCAGTATGCCGACATAGGTGTCAGCTAGAAACTTTAAGGTCTGTAGATAAGGAGCCGATGCAAGTGATGGATAGTGACAGTACCACTGCGGTTGGTAATGATATACATATATATATATATATGTATGTAAGTATATATTTAGAGGCGTGTGGTTGAGTGCTGTGAAAGTATTGCAAACTGACAGAACTTCTCCCCCCCCATCGTACACACGTACATCAGATGTTCCTTCTGCCAATGCGGGTGCGTATGGAGTAAGAAATGTTATGCTTATCCATTACTTCAACAATTTACTAGACATTGATAAATAGCTACGGACGTCTGTTAATAAAGGGATGAACTTCAACTCGACGACCTCTATTTGTATTTATATGTAGTACCTCCTTGCATGTACTTTCAACATTCGAATATTGTATCGAAACACATACTTGAACGTTCCTTTTCATCAGCTATTTGGTTTAACATCATTCCAAATGCACCAAGTAGCTTGTTTCACACATGCTAATGATCTACGCAATAACAACGAGAGGCATACGGTGTGTGCACACAATGCGGGTGCGTATGGAGAAAGAAATGATATGCTGCTGTGACCATCATATTAACTATGTATTGGACAGTGGCAAATAACAAAGGACGGATGTCAATATAGGGATCAACTTCAACTCGATGACATTTATTTGTATATATATATATATATATGTATAGTACATCCTTGCATATACTTTCAATATTCGAATAAATGCAGTTGCGATATTGTATCAAAGCACATACTTGAGCGTTCCTTTTCATCAGCCATTCGAATTGACATCATTCCAATTGAGCCAAATAACTTGTTGCACGCATGCTAATGATCTAAACAACTACAACTAGAGACGATGCGGCGTGTGCACACAATGCGTGTGCGTATGGAGAAAGGAATGGTATGCTGCCGTGTTCATTATCTCA